CCCATCCAATCAAAGCACATACGCCCTCTACTTTGAGGTTGGTTGCATTCTTTGATATCATTGGTAGTGCAAATAGCTTACAGCGGTATGAGCAAAACCAGCGGTATAAAAACACAAACAGTGGGCCTAATTAAAAATATGGAGCTGTGTAGGTTGTCCATCTAGCAGCCGTACAAACTGCAGATATTATAAACCTTTTAGTGTTCTTTCAGATCAATAAACTTTCAGTTCACCACTTAGATCCACCAGGCTATAAACAAAATAAATGTACCCGAGCGCACCACTCCTGTACAGAATAAACAGAGGGGAAACACTTACTTAATGTCATTGTAAAAAACAAGCAGCCATGTTCCCTACACCTTCAAATTGGCTCAGCTACAGTACTTTGTTTGCCAGTTGGCTGTCACAGGTTATAATTCACTGGTCAAAGTTTGTGAAATATTCATAATGCAATAACACAACACCCAGTTAATTTCAGTAGAGGCATTGGCTTTTTGTTTTTGTCTCTCTCCTGTGCCTTTCGCATACATTGGTAAAAAGCCTGCTGTGTAAAGTTCACTAAAATCACCTCCCAGGATTTCTCATATTCATATTTTACCTCCCACCTTTGGCGTCAATGGTGTGCAAATATTGATGCCATATGCAGATTCAAATAAAGTTGTAAGGATGCTTTTATCTTTTCTCACCTGGATGACCCTGATGCACTCCGGGAGAATTAGTGGAGTGGAGAGCTTTTGTGAATGCTTGTGTTTCTGTTGTTACTGTTGCACCCTTGCTTTTTTAATGTTTTCCACTTGCTGTTTGCTAAACTGTCTTTTATTCTCCCTGTGTTTCATGATTGTTGTTATTGCTTCTCTTTGCTTTTGACTCTATTTTCATTGCTTGTGCCGTATGTTTTGCAAAGCACTGTGTAACCTTTTTTAAGGAGTATAAATGATTATTATTACTATTAGAGCTGTGAAGGTAGTGCAGCTCTGAAATGTAAGCTTGCAAAGTTCCCTCGATAAAATGGCCACTAATACTGTTTCATTGCAATTGGCTGACATCAAATGTGTCAGCTTAAGAGATATTAAGGTTGAGTGATCCCCTAAGGGAAATAAAGTGCTTGGAGAAGCAAATAAGAGCACAAACAAGGAAGGGGTACAGGTTAATTGAAATACAAATAAGGACAAGGCAAACAAGGTACATTTATCTGATCATTAAGGGTACATGTATGTAAATGAATACAAATGATGGATTGGTATCGGCACTATTTGGCCTACTGAGGTCTCCTCTTATAGCTAACGTCCCCTTCCAGACACATTTCAAAGTAATATTTACTAATATTTAGTACTAATATTTTTTTAACATAGTTTTGCCATGTAATAGTTAAAAGTAAAACTGGGGAGCAGATCTACTCTTTCACCCCAACTGAGAAATTCTATCTCCGCCCCACCCATCACCGCTGCTTGTGGTAGGTTTTCTCTACCGCTGTTCACGCCAGGCTGACCACTGAACTAGCAATGCGCATCAAGATGGCTAGTGTTGGCGTTGAGAGGAAGAAATCATTATTTTTGCATGTTAGACAGTGTGCGGGAGTTGGTGTTTTTTTTTACAAGTTGTGCTCTGCTCGTCCCTCTCCTACGCACCTGTCTGGAAATAGATGTGCGAAGTATTCTTTTGTTCTGTGGCGTTAAAGGAAACATCCCAGAGATGCAGCCATACATGTTGGCAGTAGTCTCATTCAGACCCAGATGAGGAGTCGGTTGTGCACCAAAATCGGCGACTATCAGACATATCAGAATGGTTTTAAAGTGTAGTGTTTTACTTGTCTATAGCCCTTTTAAAATAGGAATTGTGCAAATTTGCAGGAAAGCCCAATCAGTCTTCTTTCAGCATTGGCAGTATAAAAGCAAAATCTGGGAGTGCGGCAAAATGACGCCTGCCCACTTTTGTTCATACAGAGTGGGGGCGTGAGCAAGTAACAAAACGTGTAGCTCAGCATGTGACGTAAACAGTGACGTGGGAGGGAAGCTGTGGCTGGTCAGTCCTTTGGCGATTCTCTCGTAAGTTGGCCCGTCCTTCACCGTTCCTGTCATTTGACCGTTAATGGCCTCTCTGTTTGCGAGGGCAAGGAGGGCGCGCAATTCCTTGTCTCCCCAGTTGCTCATCTTTACAGTATCTTTCAGGTTTACGTTTCCCTCATGCTACTAGCTGCTCGCTAATTTCTGCTATCAGCTGTTTCCAGTTAGTCCACCACCAGTGGGTCGCACTTGCGGCGTCATCAACACCTCCTCCCACAAGTCATCAACAGCTCCTCCCGTGGCCAAAAAGGTTCCGTTAAAATGTCTGCCCAATGAGGCATAAAATTGGACACCTCGGATCAACTCACCAATCCAGCTCTGTGTGTCTAAGCACTCACAGCTTGCTGCCAACATTCGCCGAAAATCTGGTGCAGTAGCATTGTTCCGACCTCTCATTGTTCCGACCTCTCATTAGTCCGACGTCCCGTTGTTCAGATATGTGATTATACTAGGCTATACTGTATTTGTGTACCATAGAGGATCAGCAAACGCAACAAAAGTAGGCTACTGGTCGAGATACAAGTGTCATAGAGAGGAGAGAATGAAACACCATAACCTCCTGTTATTAACTCTGGGGTTCGGGTTGTGTGGGAAGCTCTCCGTGGTGCTGAACGGCTCCCAGAGGGCGTATTTCTGCCTTGATGGTGCGCTGCGACCGGCTCTGGGTCAGCTGGGAAAGGCTGGAGGAGGAGCAGGCTCACGGCTTATGTGTTTGTCACTTTCTTTTTCATTTTAACCCACACCATGATCTTTTCCTGACCCTAACCAAGTGGTTTTTGTGCCTAAATCTAACCAGACCTTAACCACAGGGCATCATGATGATTTCGGAACAACGGGACTTCGGAACAATGGGTTTCATATGGTCGGAAGAATGGGATGTCGGACCAATGGGCAGACCCCAAAAATCTGGCAGTGTAAACGGGGCCTATGTTGTTTGTTAGCTTGTAGGCTAACTGTCTCTGGCTGAAACAGTGTTAATAATTATATATATATATCTGCTACAAGATGGTTTTTGTTAGATAGTGGAAGAAAGCTCAAGGGTCGGGTTTACACCCAAAAACTGCACAGTCTACCATGTTTGCTGTCAAAACTTTGTCTATGCTAATGCAAAGTATCGCTCTCTGTACTGACAAGTCGTGTCAAAGTCTGTTCCCCTGTCAATATGCATTTTCCTATTAGAAAGTGATCAGCTTTTGTATTAGTGACATACCTGGTGTAGCTTGCATGTACATTTGAATACAGACATCAGCCTTCTCAGTAGAGGAATGTGAAAACACTTCTCTAGTGACAAACTTTGCATAGATACAAGTCAATTTAGTCAGAGACAGACATTTTAGGGGGCATAATCAGAAGAAAACCCCATTTCTGATTGGAGGGGGGCTTTAAGAAGCCATCTGTAGCTACAGTCTCAAATAAAACCTAATGGAATGCTCCACTTCCATTCAAATGGAAAAAAAGACCACTGGTATCAGATTGGTATCAGTCAAAAGCCAAGAATCAGCATCAGTATCAGTCGACCAAAAGTAGGATTGGTGGATTCCCATATACCCTGTTATACCCATATACCCCTATAATCACATACCCTGTTGGCAGGGTGCTACAGGAGCTCCACTGAATGCCCACTCCTCCATGGCCTCATATCATCAGCAGCCACAATGTGTCCTTCATTTGACTCTGCTACCCATCACTAGTGTCCATTATACATTTGCATGACTTTGCAGGGTGGGCATGCACGGGCCAGCCTAGTATCCTGAGAGGTATGTCCGTAGGTGTATCCAATATCAGTGAGCAGTGCCAATGCAGAAATTGTTGTTTCCTTTACAGTATGTAGTGAGGTAGAAAGGTTTGCTCTGGCGGATGGGCGTGTAGCATGTTCAACTTTTGTGCCAAAGACCAACATCCCGTCACGGACCCGCAATTTCTATTAACTGTCCTCACAATCCTCACTGTCTCTCCATCACACCAACCCAATCCGCCTGAATCCTGCACAAACGCTGCAACACACACACACACACATACACACACACTCCTCTTGCATGCAATGCTCTCTCTTTCTCATATTATCTCCACCGCACACACCATCCTTCTTGATCACACTTCATATAATGTTGTGGGTTTGATCTTCCATGGGTTGGTCCAAGAGAGCTCCCCAAGTGGACCCGCTGACGGTCAAAGAGCCATTTCATTGCAGCAAAAAGAGATTCCTGGGTGGATTTCATCGGGTCCTCAGAGGGCACATTGCTTACTTTTAATAAAGTCTACAACGGATGTGAAGTTCATTTTGAGCACATACAGAACGTGGACATACTGGACATACGCAAACACACACTGCAGGCAGTGAAGAGCGTTTGCTTTGAGACCAACCCTCCAGAAGAAGAGGAATCTCCTCGTTATTACTCCCTCTTGATGAGCCAGGTCTGGTAAAGATTCTGGCAATAGTCAGTGCATACAAATTACTCTGTACCACTTGCAGCTATATTTATATTGTATTTTCTCTCTTACATAATGAAAAAAATTCCCTCTCATCATGTACAGTAATCAAAAAAGTGATTGGATCCATCTCCACAGACACATTATTAAAAACTGTAGAAAGCCACAGATGCACAGAAACATAACGCTGAAGTCCAAGTGATCATCCAGCCCTGACTTTATCTTATTACATGCATGAAAATAGTTATGTTCAGCACAAAGGTGAAGGCAAAGTGGGTGCTCTGCTTAGATCTTTAAATGTGCAGAGGCAACGTAAATGGGTGCAACATTTAAAAGCCAATTAAGATGACACCTGCACATTTATGTCATAACAATTAATCCCAATGTGCACATATCACATAAAGCGCCTGTCTGGAAACTACTTCCCAATTTCGGTCCTTGATTTCAGAAACTGCATGACAGCCTGTCTCTTAATAAATGTGCAGCCTGCAAAAAATATGAACTTACCCGGCTTCCGCTGCAGAGATTAAATGATAGAAGCAAGCAGGCAGTGGGAGAAGAACATTACATTCCCTATTAATGTCCATTCACAGCTCAGCGACGTTCACGCCGACACCCGTTTACTGTGTCGACGGCGGGGGGGAGCGCGCGCCGTCGGGAGCGCGCTTCTTGGCCATAGACAGAGCTCAGAGAGGTGCGTCAGTGAGGAGGAGGAGGTGTGAAGACAAGATAAGAGTAATAACAGCCCTCCAGGAACCGAGGCTAATAAGGAGACAAGCGTTTTCTCTTGCAAGTCAATATGACATTTTTTGTAAGACTTCATCAGATACAGCATAAAGGTCGCTCATGTGTCAGTGCTTCACTGTGACCTTATTCTCATTGCACTGTTTATTATTCATGAAACCTAATTTGGGATCCCATATGGTGGAAATAGGCTAAGAGGAGGCTATTTAGTGCAGTTTAATATGTGTAGTTGCACACAAATATTATAATATTTGCTTAAACTTTGAAAACTAGTGGAAACTAATAATTAAAAAAACATTTTACATATGCATGTTACTATCACTACAACCATTTTCCCTCCTTTTTCCAGAAATTATTATGTAATGTGAGGCTAATTCTTCTTTTTCAATATATTTCAATATACAAATGATGTCATGCATGTGAATTTTGTTATAGAGTCATATTTAAGTGTCTTTTTATGAAGGTTGTGACTACCTCAGGTTTATCCTGCAACATTTCTGGGGATAAATCCAGCCACTTTCTTATAATGTGTTACCATGGAGAGGGGAATTAAATACTCCAAACCTTTAGCAAGTGTTCCACTCAGTCCCACAAGATCTATTTACAAACCCCTGAACGTCCTCGATGTAAATGTGTAGCGGGTCAGGTGGGATGCCAGTTGATTTTGGACCTATACATCTGTGCGGAACATAAGAGGGGTACACGAGATGCCCTATAGAGAGAGAGCTGTGTGAATTTATAGCAATAGTACACAATGTCTTAAATGTGCACCTTGCTCACATTAACAAGTTAGTTCACAGTATCACAGTAACACATTCCCTCACTTCACAGAGAATGTGTGAAATCTGTGCAGGTTTCATGCAGAGGAAGGAAAAGGTTAATTAAAGTGTTGAAACAAGTATAAAGGCACCAGAAAATCATTTAATGTGAAAGGAGCCAGTCAGATGTAATTTTGGTTCTACTGGGGGTTTGCATGATGGTCATAATTAGGGACTGGTTATAAAATGAGCTGGCTCCTGTTTTTGAGTTGTAGGTGTTGTGTTGCATTTTCCATCAATCTCTCAACTCACCTCCCTCTGAGCGCCGCAGCTCTCTGCTGTTTGTTTAGCTGGGTGTTATGTAAATGTGTAGTCACTTTTGTTTCCTGTAAGAAATTGCTGATTGAGGTTCAAATTCCCTTGACTGACTGTTAGGATGTAGATTGGCTTTTTAGCGCGCTGCGTGGAGATAAAAATGTGGACAGTTGGGTGTGATGTGTGGGCTGATGTGCATTGAGGATTGACAAGAGAGAGGCCAAAACTAATCCAGCAGACAATAACTGATTCATAGTGTGTTAGATAAAGGGATGGTGAAGCTCCTCTTATCCTTGGTGAAATCAGATTTTTTTCCTTGACATTCTCGGAAACATGTGAACCTTGATGGGAAAGGTTGAAATTCATCACCATTGTTGATTTTGCTCTGCTTAATCTACTTTAGAAAAAAAAGGCTAAAAAAGAAAACAAATGGGTTATCAAGCCTGCCTTTTCTGCATTGCAGTCACTTGTCTTGGCTACGATGATGAAGCAGTGTGATGGCTGCTGCCTACAACAACACTTCAGTGAAGCTCGAGCTCACATTAGTCACTGGGAACAAAGTGTCTGCTGCCAAATGATTAAAAAACCTCAATTTAATCAAGTATTGACAGAGTGAAAGATCGTAGCCAGATATGGAGAGACTCTTGGACAAATGTTCATTTGATATAAGTCTTAATATTAAACTGAAGTGAGTATCTCTTTGACGACTGCGCTTGTACAACGTTCGAAATAAAGTTAGAAAAGTCGACTTTATAGAAAGAAAAGGACCGTCTCTCAAAAACAAATGCCCGCAGCCACAGCATTACAGCGGCTTCTAACAAACCGCAGTTTAAAAAAAAAAAAAAACATGGAGTCCTCCTTCCTGAAATAAATCTGCTACAGTTGCTCTCGGGCTCCTCGTCTAGTAGCTGTACAGTGGGCGGTAAGAGCCCTTATGTTCCCTAGGAGGACTGTGCTTGAGTAACTCTGGGAAGTCACAACACAACGTGAGGGAAATTTCCGTTTTCTTTATGAAATGATGAGAGCCCCACAGGAGGAAAATTAATTAAACCATTGTTTTAATAAGATCACAGACAAATGAAACCACATGATCGTATGAGCAGCCATGTGTGAGATACGTGGCTTTTTTCTTCTTTTGTGTATTACAGCACTATCTGTCAGCCAATAAAGTATTTTGTAAGTGATTTAAATGCATGATTATATTGAATTTTTCTGTAGGAAATGCTTACAGTCACAAATAAAGTGTGTTTATAATATTGCAGACACAGCTAGAAAACGAGAAAACTTTGTCATTATGGCTCCTGTGTTTGAAGTGCATTTAAAAGCTTTTGGATTTATGGTCTCTGCCAGGAAATAATCTCTCAAAAATGTGTTGCCTCACAAACTTTCTTGTCACATCTGTGTCTTCCTATTAGGTGCATTTTTGTTTGCAATTATTTCAAGCAAGACCTAAAGGGTGGGTGGGGGGACATACTGTATGAAACATGGGGTTTGGGGTCTTCCCCCTCCTTCAGATTTTGAGCTTCATACACTTAATTTCCTGCATTACATTTTTAAGCATCAATTTTTGCCTTTTCTGCACCACATTATGGTGGAAATTAATTTAATTTTGCCAAAATAATACTCCTCTGCTACATTCATGTTTTTACTGGGGGGCACATGTTCTAAATATTATGTCGGACAAGTTCCCTGTGTCCCCTGTAGATCTACACCTGTGGTTTGAAGTGCCATTAGCACCATGCGGCAACCTCCAGAGCTGAAAAATGAAGGCAACTCAAAAGTGCCAAAAACTACAGTTCTTTGAAAGGCCCCTTGAGGCTGGCTTCAGTAGCCAGCCAATCCCCACAGACCCCCGTGTTAAAGCGTCCAACTTTACAGCAGAAATAAACATGTTTACAGTCTGGTACAAAAACAGTTTTTGCGTCTAAAGCTAATTTTCCACTCATAACAACTCTCTAAACTTTTTAAAACACTAAACACTTAACATTTTATTAAGGCTTAAAGTTTCGCACAGTTAAGGGGAGGCCTCTTTGAGTGACAGGCTGTCTGTAGATAGTGTCCTCGGCTTCTAAATCAGATCCACCCCTCACTCCTCCACAGCTCCAGCCCTTCGCCCACTTCTGAAAATGGTGACAAAATGGTGACAGCTGACATGCTGAACTTGAGGCTTTAAAATGGGAGTGCACAATCCAATGGGTGAGGTCACGGTAGCTACATCCATTATTTTTACAGTCTGTGATTAGCATCAGCCGTGTTGATGTTGTTTCGGTGTGCCAGGGTGACCTAAATTGTCAGGTGCCATAAAACAAGCATTGGTAAATGTTACAAGATTAAACAATGGTTGCGTTCAAGTTCATGACTTGCAAACTGTTCAGTTCAGCATTCACCAAAATATGAGCACAACACTGTTAATAGATATAAACTGCAAAGATTCCATGTCCTTCTTTAAACTGAATTTTGCATTGTTTGTTATACACAGTGCTGGCATAAATAAACATCATCTTCGAACACATCAACATGAAATAGCAGCTCAGTCTTCTCATACATGATTACTCTGCATATGCAATTTACATTTGAAAGGATGGCGCATGCAGCGGTTAGTATTTGTTCACAAAGCACGGGGCAGAGTAAAGGTGGAGAGTGGAAGGAAATGTAACTATTTTTAAGCAACAATCTTTCTCTAATTTAAACCCACATGGTTTTAGTCTTCTATCCATTAAAATAACTGCACCAATAATAAGCTGCAATCCATGACTTTATGCATATTCAAACAGTGAAAACCAATTAAGGCAGCATGAGCATTTATATCAGAGCAGGAGTATAACAGACTCTGACATACAGGTAGATTTAATAACAATAATGTAAATGTTATCAGCTTTAACTGCGTTTAGATGCAGATATTATAGGAACACGGTGGGTATATTATAAAAACTTTCAGTATAATGAGATGGAAACAAACTGAAAGACTTAAATTTACATACTTTTGTGAAATTGGACAAAATTCTCTTTCCAGTATATTATTTGACGAACACAGATATTCACACTCTGTAGGAAAAGGTGCAGTAAAAGACTGCATAGTATGAAATTGACTTTATATTTCTGATATGAAATATTCATGTACTGACAGGATTTCGAGGTATAACTTTCCCACAGGACGTATCCCTGCATGTCTCTCACTCCTGGCTGATAAAGTCCAAGAATCAGATTGTAGGGGGGTTATCACACTGTTTTACAAATGTTCTAATAACTAATACAATGATCAAATTTAACATGATTTGAAGCAAAAAGTAATGTGTGTCTGCAGCCTCTCCTCCGAGGTTTTGGGCATGCAGTTGTCAGAGTAAACAATAATAACATGCTTCATTAGCTCATGAAATGGAAAGAGGTTTTTGTACAGGCAGTGCTGGACTCCGGTTTGAGGTCCCTGCTAGTCACTTTAGTGCAGGGTTTTGATCCATCATCGTATCCCCTGACAAGTCTCACCGATTTGCTTGTCACCGCACAAAGCTGTAGCTCCATCCTTCACTGCAGAGGCAAAATATCTCCTAATATCTCCAAACTGCTTCTCATCATCTTCTCATCTTTACCGCTTCACTGTTTTGAAATACGAAAGCTTTTACTCACACTGGGGTTTCATTCCGTAACACAAAGAGACATAATTAGGATCCATTAATAGAGGAATGACAGTCACCCTCGTTATTGCTAATTAGCAATGACTGTTTTTTTTTCTTATCTTGTCACTTTTGAAGATGAAACAGCAAAATTAATGAACTATGATCACGGTTTAGTCATGCGTGTGTGTGCTTGT